TATACATACATATATATACATATAGATATATATGAACTAAATAAGTTTACAAGGTATATGCATTAAATAAAAAAAAACCAACTGCAGCAACTAAATATAAAACAAATTAAAGAAAACATAAATAAAAAGCGATATGAGTAACAACAAAATAAAAATAAATAAATTTATTATATACATACATAGAGAAATATTAAAGAAAAAAAAACAAACAAATATGAAAATGAGATTGAAAATGGTATGAAAAATGAAATGATTATTTGAAACATGTTCATTATATATAAATGTCATTACAAATGTTCTTCAAAACTGCCTACCAATAAAATATATTTCAAATAATATGCAATTTGAAGTGTTATTTGCCAAACAGAGGTTTCACTGTATTTGATATTGTGGTCATTTAAGCGAAGTTAAATTTCCCACTTTTTAGCAGCAAGCGCAGCTAACTTCACGACACGCAACAGTGCGTTAGCATAAGACAAGCTGCTCATTTTTGCGCCAAGCCAGTTCATGGAACTAAATTGCGTTAACATAACACTAGCTAACTGATTGCTCAGTTTTGCGTTTGCTCACTGGTGGGCGCTTAAATTTGAATTCGAATAATATTATCTACTCAAATTACCTAATATATTGATTGCCTTAACTTAATGTAATTTAACAAATAGCTGACCTTTACATTTTAAGGCCTTTTGCGTTCAAATATAACTCAGCATAAAAGTTGATATTCCTTTTCGCATTAGAATCCTGTCAAGTTAAACTGCTTGCAGCGCATAATACACAAGCGTACAGTCTACACTTTAAGAACATGCAAGAAGTGGTTTATAAATTCCAATTAGAACCTTTAACTGAAACGTACATTTATTTTAAAAATTAACTATTATATGAAATGCAATTGAAGCAAATAATTCTCTTGAGTTTTTTATTAATAGCTTTTGTTCTGTGTAATGTATGTGCTATGGGTAGCCTCTGCCTATGGCATCTTATAACTTAGCATCCAATTAGATTTCTTTTTATGTTGCCTTCAAATTGCAAAGCAACAGCAACAGCAGCCAACGCAATTGGAATCGCAGTGCCAGCTGCCCTATTAAATATTAAAAGTCACACACACGCACATACACATCCATATATGATGTAATCATACATATACCTATATATACATATATAAGAGTTGGGTCAAATCTCTGGTTTATATAGTCTTATATACATTTGTTTGCATGTATTCGTATATACAGTTAGTTATTACTGTCCAATTGGATTACTGCTTGGGATCTGCAAAGAGAGCTTTCAGCGAAAGCTTTGCCACCCCCTATTTGGAATGCTTGTCCCCTTTGCGCTGAGCGCATGTGCTGCGCAGTCAACGGCGACGTCGCTGCTGCGGCTGCTGCTGCCTTTTTATCGATTGACCCAATTCTTGGATACATATTTCTACATAGTTGAATTTTCTTATCGCTTCGTTTCCTTTTTCGCTGTTATAAATTCGTTCTGGTTTTGTTCTCTCATTTTTTGTGGCTTCGTCCTTTCAACGTCCTTTCCACAGCTTGAAAGCTTTTTGCAAAAAGCCTTGGGATATATATAAAAGTATATATGTATTTTTCTTATTGGAGGTGTGGCTTTTCTGTGTTTTTGGGGCTTGGTTATGCCTGCATGTTCCTATTAGAATCTCCCCACTTGCTATTAATATGCTCATTATGTCATCAACAAATATCTGCGAAATGGGATATTAATGTAACTAACGAGCCAATAAGAATACGCAAGCATGCTGATATCCAATTGGCAGCCAAATGTAAAACAAATAAGTAAGTGCTGACTTAGTGAGCAAAATAATGAACGAATGAAATGAAGAACAAAATAGATTCTAAATATCTTTCAAAATTAAATTCACCTCACAAATTAATGAGAATCTTTAAAACTTCAATAAACAAAATAATGTGTCAATTTCAATTGAAGTTGTATATCTATCCACATAATACAAAATAGTTGTTTTAAAAGCTAAGTAGACTACCAATAATAAAATTTCCCAGAAAAAACCAACTTGTATCCAATCAGATTCGCATAGTTCACATTGAAGTCTTTGCTGATTGCTGTTTCGTATGTTTTCTAATAGGATTTGGCCCTAAGCTACGAACCTAGTTAGACTTACCGTAAGCTGATAGATAATTTCCCTCAGGGTAGATCTAGTTGGAGTCATACTTAGTCTCATAAAACTTTACCTTAAGGCATATTTATGAGTTAATGAGACTCGGTCTCATAGAAAATGAACCTAAAACTAGTTAGACTTTAACCTAATCTTATAGAGCACTTCCAAAAGGGATATTTATTGCTTAAGCCTATATGTATATGATTTTACTTCGACTCACCTTCATATAAAGTGTTCCTAAAAATATATTCAAAATAATTTCAATCTGCAATCCATTTACATTTTCAACATACTCCAGTTATATGCGTATATTTTCCCAAAACGAACCGTTTCTTTTTGTACCAAAGACAAATGGTGGCCCATTTAACAAACACTTCAGACAATTCAAGTGTTTGTGTGTAAATTTAATGTGTGTGTGTATTTGTTTATTTTCTATGTTTGTTTTATTTGAGAGCGCATAAACAAACGATTATCCGGTCGACCCAGAAACATATTTGTGCATAAAAGAGTATCCAAAAAAGAAAAATGAGCGGCAGAAGAGGTTTTTCGGTTTTTTTCCTTACCTCTCCACAAAAAAATAATGAAGCAAGCATAAAGTGAGGTTATGTGCGCATAGATAAATGGACAAACATACACTCACCCATAACACACATGCATACATACATAGACTGGTTGGTATACAAGTACTCGTATATGACACGTGTAATTGACCTACTTTCCCTATTCGACAAAAGCAGCGCGCAGTAAATGTACAAACAAAACACACACATACGTATAGCATAGTTACGCATAGAGCAAAAGTGAGAGAGAGAGTTATACATATATATACAGCAAGCCTGTTTGAGCCCACAAATATACATACATAGCTATATAACAGCTGTGCAAGACTGTGCTTGCATAGCTGTGTATGTGTACGTGTGACTGCATTGATCAATGTTCTGTGCTATTGACATGTTAATAGCTCACAATTTGTTTTCATTTAACGATCAAAATTATGCTATCGTACACACATACACACACGAGATATATGTACGCATATGCCTGAGCAAAGCTTTTCAACAACTGCAAAGCTCGCTCTCGCTCGCTTGCGCACTTTGGCTGCCTGTATAAAGACAAAGTTATGTAGCTTTGTCGCCGCGGCAAATAGTTTTTTGTTTTTTTTTTTTTCTGTAGCCGACGACCTATTTATTGATGGCGTTGCCACACATTCAGCAGTTATACATACTTACAAGCGAAAAGCGAAGATGGCTTGAAAAAATAATAATATATATACACAAGCCCACACACACTCATGCATACGCCCCTTTTGTGCAATGGAATGCATAGCAAAAAGACCGCCCTATTTTGATGTTCTTTTTATCAGTTATACACATATATACACACACTCTTACACACACACACATACAAACAATGCGTATCTGGCTGATAGTTTTGTTTGCTCAGCGATAAAGTCAATTAGCAAAAAACAACTCAAGTGCAAAAGAGTTCGGAAAAAACTGAAAAAAAGTTGAAAAGAGTAATTAATTAGCTAAAGAACTACCTCCCCTACCCCCCTCTCTTCCCGTTTTCTCCTTAGATTGTTCACAAATTTTCAAATATTTTGTTTCTTTGCCTTTTCAATTAGGTTTTTTACTCAACTACATTTACAGTTATTCGCGTTTTGTAATCTAATCGATCGATATATGAAAACTTGGCGAACTGCCTATTTTACCAGCGATGATGCAATCAGAAATGAAGGGCCAAAAGTACAAAACGTATCTGCAAAAAAAATACAAAAAGTATCTGCAAGATACGCTATACTAGTCATAGATACAAATGTATCTATAAGATATAAGGAAGTTGAGAAAATTACAATAAGCATGCATGGATACGAAACTATTTATGATACACAGAGCCCGTAAGTATAGCCCAAAGTATCTTTAACATATAACACTCTAGAAGCCTAAGCACATAGGTATCTATGAGATATAAAACTTATAGATACAAGACATACAGAGTCTCTATTAGTAACATTGTTGACTTAAGCCCTCCCCACCTTGAAATCTTTGACATGCCAAAACACTCGGCCAATTGTTCGCTAAGGCGATTTATCTACCGTCTCTCTCGCACGCTACGTGACGCCCAGCTCACCGCAAAATTGTGTCCAACTGTCAGTCGTATCTCTGATTTATTTCTGTACGTGTTGCAAATCTCAGCTGACAGAACCGAATTACAAATACTCTGCAGATACTGTATGGGAGATGACTAATGCATACCTTGAGAGACTTAAGACATCCTACGAGTGGAGTAACTTAAAAAGTTATTCATTTTTCTAACAGATATCCTATACGGAAAAACCAAAAAGATACTCTGTATGTATGTATGAAAACGTTGAGTCGAGTGTGGTATAAGCATAATGTAGTATAACTTTTGAGCATAAAAAGTGAATATAGCGTTGAGGATGAGCATAACAGTTGAGTTTTGTATAAAGTAGTATAAGTATAACAGTATTAGAACACTTTTCATTTAAGAAGTTGTGAAATTATATAGAAGACTTTTAAGAATTAAAAATATTTACATTTTTCGGCAGAATGTACGATGTATGTATATATTTATTAGATATATATAAATATATATATATATATATATATAGAGGATATATATATTTATTAGCTTAGTTAGGAATAAGCTACACACATAAACTTTGATATAGCTAGACTAGCTTAAATTGCAGTAAAGACCAATAAAGTAGTTTAAAAAGAAAATGGATGAGCTTACATGAAATATGGAATACGAGTCATGCGATCGATAAATAATCATAAAATAATCGATATACATATATAATATATAATATATATACATATAAATATAGTTTAAAACAGTTGGCGAACTCTCGAAACTAAAAAAAAATTATATAATTCAAGTTGATATAAACTTTTGCTTAGTTAACTTTAAGATAAGTTAAGAATAAGTTAAAATAGTTAAAAGCTAATTGACTTAAGAGTAAACTTAGCTTATAGCCATATATCAATCTGATCTCTCGGGACTGGACATGGGGTCCCCGCCAAAGGTCACCTCCTTCGGGACAAACGAACTGGGCGGTGCCATCGATTCCTCACGTCTTCGCTTCTGTTCACGCAGCGTGCCAAAGCGTTTGTTTCGCTTCATATTGGTAAATCTAACATAGATCTTGCCCCTGCGTTCGGTGCGATAGAAGCACAGTTGCTCCTTGGGAAAGAGCTGGAGGATTTCGCGTTCTAGCAAATGACTTCGCTGCAATGTCAAATGCAATCGATTATCCTCATAGTAACTGCAAATGAGCTGGATCAATAGCAATCGCTGCACGGCATCCAACTGTTCATTTTGTCCGATCCTCTCGAGCAACGACTGAGCCTTAACTGGCGACGCTTGTAATATGGCAAGCACTGTGACGCCGCTCTCTTCACTACCATCCGGATCGGTCATTATTTCCGGCTTTATCAGATCCGCTGTAACCAGTTCCGTATGAACTAGCTCACTGTGGTCGCCCAGTGGCAAGGGCACATTGAATGTCCCTCCGTCTGTCATCTCATTGAGCGAAACAAAGGGTTCAGCGGGCAATTGTTTCGCTCTTTCATCGCACAAATCGGGCTTGGAATGACTTTTCGTTAAGTTCGTCGAACAGTTACAGCCCCTGCAATGTACACTGCCGCTGCCGCTGCTGCCGCCGTAGTGCTGCTCATCCTGCAACGGTACATTGAGCCAACGACGCCAACGTTCCAAATGATGTTCAAAGCGAATTCGCGTGCCGTAACGAAAGTTGCGCAGCAGCTCATTCACATGATGACGCTTGAGCATCTGCAGCTCCTGTGTATTGATTGCCTCTTCTAAAATCGTTTGGTATAAGTAGAGTATAAGAGTATAACATTCGCACATTTCTCATCATTTTTGTTTACCTTGCAAATATGGCAACAGCTCGCTGACGTTCCAAGATTTTAACAGTTGCGACAGCTCCTCGTACTCATTGCTCTTTGGCATATTATCCGCATACATGTGTGTGTGCATATCGAAGCTGTGCATGTTTATGCCTATGAACATGTATATGTAACTGTATGTATGTATGTATGTACAGCCTACAACCGGCCGTACATCCTTTCGTCACGAACGAAACAGCGGCACTGAATTTTGCAACAGGCGCGAAGCGCGTACATACCCTCCGCTATACCTGCATGCCATACACACATACTAATGCAACACTCACTCTATGTCCGTGTGTGTGTGCTTGGCTGTTGTTGTCGCTGTTTGGTATACACGCTGCTATGTATGTAGTTACATACATACATAGTACAGTCATGCCATCGTTTGTTTCATCGTTTCGTCGTTTCGTTGCTTGTTCGCGCTTCGTCGTCGTCGCTGTCGTCGTCGACATCGCCTCAACGTACTTATGTATGTATGCATACCAGGGGCGTAGTTAGAGGAATTGTTTTAGGCTGTCAAAAACTGTGTCTAATTTTTTTTGTAACTATTTTCTTACTTTGTGAAAATTTCCATTAAATATTTTAGATTTTATTATTTAAACATTTTATTTTTAGTTTTGCAAAATTGTTTTAATTTCTACTTCGTCATTTTAAATTCTCTGAAAGCATGAATTATTCATAAAATTTGTTAATATTTTTATTATATATTAAAAAGAATTTGAAAATAAAAATATATTCTGCATAATAAATGAATTTCCTTTATTTCATTCATATGTGCTATTCGAAAAGTTGTTTGACTACGCCACTGCCACTGCACGAATGTAAGTATGTTTACATAATATTCAAACATATGTATACATAATACACACGTGCATTACATACATACATATACACACATATATATATTTATATATACATACAGCCCTATCCATTAGTGTTGTTGTTATGTAAATACATACATACAGACATGCATAAATGCAAGCAAACACACACGCACACTCGCACGTATTGTTGATAAAACGCTGTTTAAATATTCGCACTAAGTATTTGAAAAAGAAAACGAAGTCTGGCAGGCAGAAAACAAAACTCCGGTAACGCTGGCAACAGTTAAACAGTTGTTGCTGCTGCTTCGTCGATCGCTTATGCGTGGCGGCGAATTGAACTGTACTCTCTTTCTTTTTATGTGGCTACCACCTTTCAGCGCTGACTACTGTGCGCCCCGCCCCCTGACCAGAAAACGCCCTTTTGTTCTAATGCAATGCCGTTGCATTTAGCCTGTTGCAGCTGTGCAGCTGTGCGCGCTCTCTCTCTCTTCGCTTCTCGCTCTTCGCCGTAACTCAAAACAAAATCAACTTGAAGACGTTCGGAATTGGAGTTGGGCAAAGGGAACGGCCATTGGAGTGGGAGAGGAGACATGTAAGAGGGCGGGGTAGGGACAGCATAGCCGGTTGCTGCTTGTAAAGTAGCCAAGCGCTACGCAGGTTCAACGAACTTCTTTTGTAAATGTTTTTTCTTGCTTTTCCTTTTCTTTTTTTTAGTTTTTTTTTTTGGTTACTTGGCCCGCTTTTTTTTTGGTCGCAGTTGTTGTTATTGTTGATTGGGCTACAAAAGACTTTGTAGTTGCTTCATCCAGCTTTGTTGTTGTTCGTTTTGTTGTTTTTCGTCGTCTTCTTGTGTTTGCTTATGGGCTTGGTTCTAATGACGAGACGCTCCGGCAAAGCGCGTTCAAATGATTTCATTATCTTACGATGCAAACACATGTATGTAAATATATACATATATACACATATATTATATATATATATATATATATATATATATATATATATATATATATATATATGTGTGTGTGTGTGTTCTTGCTTGCATTATTATGAATGTATGCATGGCAAAGCGCAAAAAATCGTTACGAGGAAATTCCCTACGACTCACTTTCGAATTACAAATTTCCCTTTGGAATTAGGCAAGCAAAAACAATTCCCTGCTAATCAAACAAAATTTCCTGCAAATTAATTTTTGTTCTTTTTACAGTGGAAACATGACTTTTGGTTGCTTGCTCTTTTCTCTTCTTTCAATTAGAAATGGAACAGTTTTACCTGATGCACACCCTACCCTACTCTCTCATTAAAGTACATACAATATCTCTTTTCCTTTTCCCTGTATAAAACACTAATGAGGTAATTTTTTCTATTTTGAAAATCTTTCTAGTTGAAATTCAAGCGCTGCTCATTAATTGTTGCTTCAATGCGTTGGCATCTTTTTATCAGACACTGTATTCGGTTACCAATTAAAAGAATATCGTGGAAAATTGTGAAAAATTGTGCAAATGAATGGAAAATCAAGTCAAAGGCAAGTTAAAAGCTGCTAAGATACTAATTAAGCTTTTAAATAGGTATTCGAAATATCAATTTCGTTGATTAATCAGAAAAGAAAACAATGCCAAGGGGAAGCTCTAAGTAATGAAAAATTGATGAAGAGCTGAATAAATAAGCTGTTTAAATTGAAAAGAAACCGAGGTTCAAATCCCAATCAACTATACAGATGTATGCATAGCTGAAGGTCCAGCTTCCAGCTAGCTTCACAATTAATACCTATAACACATAATTAAGATGCACTCAATCCATCCCAAACTACATTAATGAATTAGTGATTTAATTAAGTTATATACGTATGCGAGTATAACTCATATTCCGCAAATGGACGTTTGAAGTAATCCCTTACAAGTTGAACCTAGTCAAGGTTTTCTTCTTTCCTACTAGTTCGTAGCATAACAATGTAATATATGTAATATATTATAAGAGTACGAATCAGTTAAGCGGATCCTATAATATAACAGTTTTTGTAACACAATAGAACAGATTTTTCAGTTACAAATCAGTTCATTATAATATATAATATTCATCATTTATTATAATATAACAGTATATTACAGTTACAAACTGTCTTCAATTATGCTACAGTATAATAGTTGTCAACATGTAATTTAACAGTTTATTTTAGCAACGAGTCGCTTCGATTAGGGTCATAGTATAACAGCTGTTGTATTCTAATATAGAAGTGAATTCTGAATTAGTATTCGAATTAGTTCGGTTTATGCCGTAGTATAATAGTTATATTTCAAATATTTAACAGTTTATTCAATTTATGCTCTATATATATTTATGCTATAGAACAGTTTAAATTAAATAAGTATAACTGCATATTCTATTAAGTAAATATGACATCTACAATAAATCAAGCATAATCAAATGTAAACAATGCAATGACTTAATAAATCAGAATAGCTCAACTGATTTCGAGTGGAAATGGTCATGAAAATATATCAAGTAACATAGGAAAGCATAATCGCACCTTTGTATAATTTGTTTGCAAACTGGTTTTGCGTGTGCTTAAGATTCATACACATAGATACTTTTGCCCACCCTCCCTAGATACATTGCGTGTGACGCATAAACCAAACGCGATTGCGCTTCTGTTTGGCATTTCGTTGCAGGCAATAAGACGCAATATTTATATGGAAAAATAACTTCAGGTAGCATCGGAAAATGAGACAAAGACATAACAAAGACACACATGGAAATGTTGCTGCTAAAAACATGCGCAGTAGAAGTAGCTAGGAGAGGGTTGCAACAGGGTGGCAAAAAAAACAAGGAAAGTAGAAGAGGAGTCAAGAACTTGCAATTAGGATGCATGGGAATTTTTTTTAAATCAGCACACTGGGTCGTTCGCTTGGCAACAGCAAGAGAGTGTGAGAGAGAGAGAGAGAAAGGAGGAGGCAGAGTCAATGCAGCCAAACTCGGCATTTGAAATTTTGCATAGCTGATAACATGCCGAAGTTGCTAAACATACGCTTAACAAACACAATGGGAGAGGGAGTGAGCGTACAATCAAATTCGCTAAGCGAAATAACCGATAACGGCTCGAGGCGAGTTCCCTAATCAAATTTATTACGGAAATAAGCAGCGCAGTATAATAAGCCACCCACACATACATACATACATACACACGTAAAATATATATACTTATTTATACACATACATATATTATGCATATGTGTACATAGAGGAAACTACATTGGCTGCCCCTTGAGTTTTGTTACATTATCAAAAACGCTAACTGCGCAGCTTTTTTGCTTTTCCGCAGCAACAGCAACAGCAGCAGCGTCGCAATTTTTTTCCTTTTTTTGGTCACTTCCAAGCAAAATTTGCTTCCAGCGTACTGATAACGGCACATTCCCAACGCCAAACGCTTGCGTTGCGGCTTAGTCCAATAAGCGTGACATGATGCGACTGCAGACATTTTTGGGGCGGCTTAGTGAGCTTAAAAGCTGCGTGACGGCGAAGACGACGTCGACGACGACAGTGACGGCAACAACGACGATGGCAACGGCGACGTCGAAGGCATTGTGTGTCGCTGTTTGTCTCTCTGGGTGACCTACACTGGCTTCCCCTACGGCAGCATACACAAACACCAACACTCATACACAGTGAGTATGTATATGCATATATGTATGTACGACAACTGCATATAAAAAGCACATATGTATGTTTGTATGTTTATATGTAACGCATTTTTCGGTTGAAAACTGGATGGTCGCAGAGCGAAAGGCAAAAACTGTGCGCACCATTCGGCAATGATTATTCGCTGGCATTAGACGACGCGCATATTCCAACAGCTGGAACGGAACGAAACGAATAGTTAGCCAGTCAGCCAGCCAGCCCAACTGGCAATTGTTTTGTGGGGTCAGTCATAAAATCATTCCCAACAAGGCAAAGCGGTAAATGTTCAGCGAAAAGGTTTTAAAAAATACTAAGACAAATACATATATATATAAATTACTAAACAAAAAAGTGCTATAACAAAATACAGGAAAAAAAGTTCTGATACGTTTATGAGAAAATCCCTAATCGTGATAAATAATTAAATTATGAATTATGAAAGAAAAAAATATTTTTATAAAATAACGGGACTGTTACGACATTGAGATATAAAAAAAACTGTTTACTGTTTAAGAATATATATATATATATATGTATATATATATATATATATATATATATATATATATATATATATATATATATATATATCACGATTTAGGAATTTCACATAAAAGTATGAATTGATGAAAGGCTACAAAATTCTGTAAGTATAATTGTGTTATACACTGGAATGATCAAGAATGTTTAATGATATTTACAGACAAACCCAGACAAAGCTGAGTGCTATACACCGTGCAAATAGTTGAAAATTAAACTTGTATATTTAGTTTTACTCTTGGGTATAACAGTTTCGTTAAAATACTGGTAACACAGTTTATCACGCCTTGACTTTAGACGAACATCACTAGCTGATCAATTTTCTATTATAATTATTTTGGTATTTCCCTTTTATGCAACAAAGTTTCCTATTATCAAACAAATACAATATTAAAACTTGTAATTGGAATTTGAACCTGAACTGAGCTTCTCAGCAGTCCGTCCAATTAGTCACTCGTGCACATTTCAAGGTTTTCCAGTTGTTAACTATATAGGGGCGTATATACACATGTATGTATATATATATTTACCTATACGATAGTCAAA